ATAGGTTTTTTCTTAAAAGTACATTCAAAACAACCGGTATTTGTGGGTCATCTGATCACCACATTGCCTTCTGACATTTTAATAGTCCTTATCATATTATCACACTGTGCTTGCATGCTAGGACCTATTCTCTTTGCCAGAGCTACTGCTATTTCTCCTGCATGTTTTAGCTTCCTATTAGCAGGGTTCATTAACATGGTTTGTTGATCCAGTTTTTAGGATTTTCAATATTTGACATTATTTATTTCCAACATTCCTTTTTCCTGAATATCATGTCTAACAATGTGTTTTCTTCTAGGAGTAGTAGATGAGATACTCATAAATGGCATCAGTGAGCTTTTATCCCTATATGGTGGAGGTAGGGTCTCAGATATTATACCACCTGCTTGTTGCTCTCTGTCAAACGGTAGTCTGACAGGAAAGTATTTTGGTCGCGGTACGCCCGTGGGTCTGGGCTAAGCGGGCGGGCAGAAGCTCCGGATTTTGCTTCTGTGTATCCCTCCCTGTGTGGTTGGCTCCGAGTCATTAAAAACTGCGTTCTAACCTCGTCCGCCATTTATTATTTTTATAATTTTTATTTTATTAAAGGGTTTAAGTTCACTCTTTTATACACATGCAAGTTCCTAGGCTATTACTCACACCGGAGGATCAGTTCCGACTATACCGTCACTTGGTTCTAGGTTACTCTTTCTGGATTCAGCTAGTACATGCGGATACCTCAGTTAAGAGTGTTATGTACCGAGCTTCGAGATTTTTAAACAGCACAGGTACCTTCAGACCTATGTTTATCTTTATTAAATCTCCCATTAACTCTTCCCCACGTTATGTTTTAACGCAAAAGTTCAAACCGCAGCTCTTTGTCAAGTCCTACCTATAAGTTTCAAAGTAATTGGACAAGTACTGAGCAATGCTCCTACGGCTGACTTCACTATAGCCACCAAACCTGTATTAAAGGGACCACAGGGGCTTCTCAATTTGGCTAGGGGAAGAAGAACCTACTTTAGCTTCTTTAACAGACAGCAATATCCGATATAATATAACCCTCAGTCCGGTGCAATAGTATCAACTTAAATTACTACACTTTTAGGTTTAATTATATATTCTAGGATTCGGGTAGGTATTTTAACAAGACTTTCAGCCTGTATTTCGCTGATTTGTACTCATCGACTTTTTTCACTAGGTCGTTCTGGTTCTTGTATTTTGACTCTGTAAAAGTATTACTTTTCACAGAGCCCCACGTTGGGCACCATGTTTAGAGTCGGAGAGGTCCTGATAATTTATTCCGGTAAATTACTCTGACCTACTAATTGACCTGACCGAAGTTATTGAGTCTATGTAAGGTTGCTGCTTGGCTCAGATCCACCAACGTCAGCAAGATCTCACCTCTATTAACTCCTGAAGAACCAGGTTCAATTAACTGCTGTTTCAATTCAGACAACTCTTTTTTAATCTGTTTAAGGGATCCCGAAGGATTTTGATATCAGTAAATGGAGTGTGCTCCTACCTAAGTGTGTGTGGCAGGGTGCAGTCTTACCTTTGAAGCAGGAGAGGAGAGCGCAGATGTCTTTGAAGTTATCCCAGTCCAAAAAGGTGAGATCAGTTTATTTGAAGAAAAATAGGTCCAAACTAATACAGGGTTTTTACCTTCTCTCTTTACAACATTGTAATCATACTAAAAACGTTTGGTGCTGTGATCATGTTCAAATATGAATCTTTAATTCACAGTCTTACATTTATTACCAAAATGTTTAATTTCAACTGCCCAATTCAGTTGTGACCTTTTATTATCTCCCGATAGAATTTAGAGGTATTTCCTCATAAAAATACCGGTGACAATAAAAAGCGCATTCAACTTTTCATTCACCAAATCAATTCACATCAGTTTCATACCTTTTTTCCGACACAGACGGCGGGTATTAACATTCAAAAACACACACCTATCTCCCGCAGGTATTTCGGAGGAAGATCCTCACGGTGGCGGTTACTAATTACGAACACACTCCTATCCGACACAGATGGCGGGTACTAACATCCAAAAACACATACCTATCTCCCGCAGGTATTTCGGAGGAAGATCCTCACGGTGGCGGTTCCTAATCACAACCACATCTCACAAACACATCTCCCATCGAATCATTCCACTCAGCATTCCAACCAAGAAATTCAAGAGATATTTACCAAGTTTGAGAGAACCTTACCGAGAGCTATTAACCCAGCTCTGAAGGACAAAGCCTACCGGGAGAGAGTCTACCAGGGGAAACCCCCCTCTCTCTCGCGCTCTCTCAAAAAACCAGTCTCTTTAAGCACAAAAAACCGGATCGAAACCCCAAAGCACCTCCTCCACACCCAATTTGTGGAAAACTGGGCATGGCCTCTAATGTACAGGGCTGGACATGACCCAACATGTTCCATAGCTTATGGCATAAGACACACCTTCCCATGTTTGTGTAAAAAGGACATGACTCCTGTATGATTTGAAAAATATTATTCTCGTTTATGACATAACCACCTTTTTGAGGCCTCTAATGTGTTTCTCCTTCAGTCAGGAGCCCCCCTCCCTGTGAACTGCTGTCAGAGGAGAGGGAGAAAACGGCCTACTCTCTTATCAGAGACACCCATAACTCTTTATAGGCTGTACACTCAACTTAACAAACCACTTGGTTTTGTTTATACTGTAACTATAGAAAAACCTAAAATATTAAGTATTTTCATTGTGGGTTATACAAGAATATAATTGATTATATTTGATTATAACTAACTTTCGTTTTAAGTATTAAACATACTATGAAAACTCTCAACAATACATTGCAATGAGCTTCTTAGTGCAATAAGAAGCTACAGAGACGTTAATCTACGTCGGTAATATTAATTTTATTTAATACAACATTTACGGTACAACATTTAATCAGACAGCCCATGTAGTATAATATTTTACAAATGATGAATTACAGCAAACATGTGCAATATATCCATTATTACAGCTCCGTGGGATGGCAGTAAGGCGATATGGGTCCGTTCTTATTGTGCATCCATGGGTAAAGATAAACGCATGTAGTACTGAACACGCAACATGAACGGGCGGCGCGGTCCCGTGGGTTAGATGCACGTTCATAATGCAGAGGGAAATAACTCTCAGAATAACGTTATTAGCACATTTTACAACTTGAAGACCAAATGTTTTTAATAAGGGCTATACACGTGTTCATACTGGGTTGTTTATTTAGTTTTTAAAAAAGTATCCAACGAGTTACAGACCACTCTTTCCCCATGTAAGTCAAAGGGAAAAAGTGTTTCCGGGCCCAGCAACCTAACGGAAGTGTAGTACCGCCGTTTGACCACAACGAATATTTTCCTCAGAGTCCGGCGCACTTCCTGGGGGCTTGGTTTGGACACCGCTGGCTTGAGCGATCCACTTGATAACCCGCGTCGTAGGACAGTTTAGCGAGAGCGCATATGTTTTGGATTAGGCCAACCGGCTAACTCAAACATATCCAGGTTAGGTTGAACCGGCTTCGTAGTACAGACCTCAGGAGTCTGGCACATGGTGGAATGCTCTAATTAAAAATGTTTACGATAAATGTGAGAGATGAGTCAAAGTAACGTGGTGTTGAAGCATCAAATAACGGAGGCCTCTCTGCTGGTGGTTGAGTTGTTTGAACATTAGTTGTGTTGTTTCCCTAAAGTCTGTCAGAGAGAGGCTCCCTCTGGTGGATGTTGTGCAGTATTGTGTTGTCTTTGCTCCAAATGTTTTTGTACAGAGTGTTGGTGTTTCCTGTCACTGTGGGCCTTCAGTTCCTAAATGAGAGATGATGAACTCTGGTGGTTGTCCTGGATATTGTCGATACCAGTCAAACTGATCACCACCAGCTGCTTGTTTGGAGTATCTGTAGGACAGAGTAACAGAGCTCTCTTCTGGACTGAACTCTTCTCTCTGTAATGCAGTGAGATCTTCACAGCTGACCCCTGAAGAGAGGAGTAATTCAAAAGACTCAGTTAATAGATCACATTTGATCAACATTAGAAGTTAACGTTTTCATGCAGAAAGTTACGTACCTCTTAGAATGGAAACTAACAGTAGAGAATGTAAATAATAGTGTAATGACAGCATGTTGAATGAAGGTGATGATGATGGTCTGTGTTGAACTCTGGTGAATATGGAAGTTCCTCTCTCTTCTATAGTTCAGGAACATCTTAGCTCCTCCCTGAATCTCTCTGTCTCCTCTTAGATCTGTATTTCACTTCTCAGTTACACTTCCTCCTGGTTTTCATGTTATCACGTGTGTGTCGTCTGCATAGCTATGGTAACTTATTTCATTGTTATCCATTAACTAAGCTACTGGAAGCATGTAGATGTTGAAGAGAAGAGTCTCCAGTATGGAGCCTTGAGGAACCCCACAGGTCATATTCGTCCACTCAGATGTTGAGTTACCGATAGAAACAAAGTGTTTCCTGTCCTTTCAGTAGGATTCAGACCAATAAAAACAATGCCAGAGTCCCACCCAGTTTTCCAGTCGGTCTAGTAATATGTTGTGGTCAACAGTTTCAAATGCAGCGCTGAGATCTAATAATACTGACAGTGAGATTCTGCCACTGTCTGTGTTTAAGTGGATGTCATTAAAACGTTAATTAGAGCAGTCTCAGTGCTGTGTGACTGGAACACATCAAAACAGTTATCAAGTGCCAAAACAGCTTTTTAATTGTTAAAAAACATTTTTCCAATTATTTTACCCGGCCTATAAATGTTCATCAGTGAAGCGCCTAGGTTTGTCTTTCAGAGTGGTTTGATGACTGCAGTTTTCAGGGCCTGTGGGAATAAATATGAAAAACAGGAAGTCTTGAAGAAGGTCCATCAGGAGTCTGGCACCTGGTGGAATGCTCTCATTGAACATTATTAGGATACATGTGAGAGATAAGTTAAAGTAACGTGGTGTTGAAGCATCAAATAAAGGAGGCCTCTCTGCTGGGGGTTGAGTTGTTTGAACATTAGTTGTGTTGTTTCCCTAAAGTCTGACAGAGAGAGACTCCCTCTGGTGGATGCTGTGCAGTATTGTGTTGTCTGTGCTCCAGAGGTTTTTGTACAGAGTGTTGGTGTTTCCTGTCACTGTGGGCTTCAGAGCACAGTAGTACACAGCAGAGTCTGTCACTGCAGCAGAGGAGATCTGCAGATCCACTTGTTTTTTCTCCTTGTTCAGTGTGGCTTTCAGTCCAGGGATTGGAGGTTCTGCTTCCACCACGTAAGGCTGTGTTGTGTCAGTGATCAGGAGGAGGAACTGAGGAGCTGATCCAGGATCCTGTCTGTACCACTGGAGATTATTAGCTTGAACTGAATATGTACAGGACAGAGTAACACTACGGCCCTCTGAGGAACACACTTCAGCACTGATGGCAGTAATAGCATCTTCCAAGCTGTTACCTGGAGAGGAAAACATCATGCTATCATTACAGCTCCAAAGTCACAAACCCATCAATTCCTTCATGAAAAAACAACTTTGCTGTAAAGCGTTAATCCAAAATCCAAACTGGATGTGTAATGCTTTGAAAAAGTCTTCATAGTTCCCCTTCTCCTGTCAGAAACATACGTACCTATGAGAGCTGAACAGAGCAGAATTGCAGCCAGTTTCTCCATGTTCACAGAGGGGAAAGCTGTGGTTGTTCAGTATGGAAACGTTTAGTGAGTTGTGTTTGGTCTGATGTTCACAGCTGGAATCAGAGAGGTGTCAGTCATGAAGCTCTGCAGTCAGCAGGAGGAGACTCGGATGTCCAATGAGTTTCTGGAGCTCTTCATCACAGCTGTGAGTCTTAGAGAATCTAATCTAGACTGTATCATCACATCCTGCTGAAGGTGAACAGAGAGAGGCTCCCTCTGGTGGATGTTGTGCAGTATCCTGTTGTCTTTGCTCCAGAGGTTTTTGTACAGAGTGTTGGTGTTTCCTGTCACTGTGGGCTGCAGAGCACAGTAGTACACAGCAGAGTCAGACAGCTGAAGCTTCTGGATCTTCAGAGGAACAGATCTTAAGCTTGAATCCAGTGTGGATGAGAATCTGTCCTCGTCCTCTGTTTTCCCCGTGCCGATCTTAAAGCGGCTCAGGATGAATGTGGGGCTGTTGTCTCCGTGCTGTTTGTACCAGAAGAGATAGTCATTTGATGAAGTGGTGTTATAGTGACAGCCAAGTGTTACTGCCTCTCCTTTAGTAGCAGTCTTTTCTGCTTCAGGTTGCAGCATGTTGTCTCTTTGGGCTCTGCATTCTGTAAAACAGCAACAAACAGTATCAGGGACATGTTAGAGAATCATCTCAATGTTGGACTGATTTCAAAGAGTTCATACCAAGACTCATAGCAGCCAGCAACACTGAGATAACCAGATGCATCATATCTGCAGGTTGAGAAACTCTGAGCTACAGAGAGTATAAAGAGGACTGATAAACTCTGCTGAAGTCTGACAGAGAGAGACTCCCTCTGGTGGATGTTGGGCAGTATTGTGTTGTCTTTGCTCCAGAGGTTTTTGTACAGAGTGTTGGTGTTTCCTGTCACTGTGGGCTGCAGAGCACAGAAGTACACAGCAGAGTCTGTCACTGCAGCAGAGGAGATCTGCAGAGGAACTGATGTCTCGTTGATTTTAGCATCAAATCTGTCTTTCTGGAACTCTGCAGCATTAACTCCAGTTGCTGAGTAACGCATCAACATGTACTTTGGGTAACCATTGACTTCTTGTTTGTACCAGAACAGAGAGGGATATGTGTCAGTTGTCTTAAATGTGCAGCCAATTGTAACTGTGTCTCCTTCAGTAGCGCTGACTTCTCCTGTTGTCTGGGTCACTGTGTCTTGTCCTTTACACTCTGGGGAAGAAGAGACCATGCAGAGGAAGAGATGAATCAATACAGATGAAGGATTAAAGGAGAACAATCAGTAGCTTTAAACAGTTACCTAGAAACATGTTGTAGTTTCTATCTTACCAAAGGAGAGAGCAGCAAGAATAATCCACAGCCAATGTTCCATCTCTACAACAAGGTTTAAATCAGCAGCAGGAAGTAGCTGATGTTCAGCATTCAGTGTGAGGATGGTTCTCTTCACAGCAGCACTTATTATTGACTGGATGGTTGAACACAGTGCAGAAGACGTGCACCGCCTACTTGATCATGTGGCCCTCTAGTGGAGGTGAACAGCTCGGTACAACAGTGTGGAGAAAAGGCTTCCAGCAGCTTGTCAGTGTGTCAGCTGGTGTTTTTGTACAGAGTGTTGGTGTTTCCTGTCACTGTGGGCCTCAGAGCACAGTAGAACACAGCAGAGTCTGTCACTGCAGCAGAGGAGATGATCAAATCTATGTTCTTCCCTGCAGACAGTTTAGAAGACAACTTTGTGTCTGATTTCAGAGACTCTGCTAGACTTGTAAAACTTGTTCCTGAGATGTAGAGAAGAAACTCTGGTGGTTTTCCTGGATATTGTCGATACCAGAAGAAATCTTCACTAGCCGTTATAGTTTTGGAGTATCTGTAGGACAGAGTAACAGAGCTGCCTTCTGGACTGAACTCTTCTCTCTGTAATGCAGTGAGATCTTCACAGCTGACCCCTGAAGAGAGGAGTAATTCAAAAGACTCAGTTAATAGATCACATTTGATCAACATTAGAAGTTAACGTTTTCATGCAGAATGTTACGTACCTCTTAGAATGGAAACTAACAGTAGAGAATGTAAATAATAGTGTAATGACAGCATGTTGAATGAAGGTGATGATGATGGTCTGTGTTGAATGAAGGTGAATATGGAAGTTCCTCTCTCTTCTATAGTTCAGGAACATCTTAGCTCCTCCCTGAATCTCTCTGTCTCCTCTTAGATCTGTATTTCACTTCTCAGTTACACTTCCTCCTGGTTATCATTTTATCACGTGTGTGTCCTCTGCATAGCTATGGTAACTTATTTCATTGTTATCCATTAACTAAGCTAGTGGAAGCTTGTTGATGTTAAAGAGAAGAGTCCCCAGGATGGAGCCTTGCGGAACCCCACAGGTCATATTCGTCCTCTCAGATGTTGAGTTACCTATAGAAACAAAGTGTTTCCTGTCCTTTCAGTAGGATTCAGACCAATAAAAACAGTGCCAGAGTCCCACCCAGTTTTCCAGTCGGTCTAGTAATATGTTGTGGTCAACAGTTTCAAATGCAGCGCTGAGATCTAATAATACTGACAGTGAGATTCTGCCACTGTCTGTGTTTAAGTGGATGTCATTAATATGTTAATTAGAGCAGTCTCAGTGCTTTGTGACTGGAACATATCAAAACAGTTATTTATTTCCAATACAGTCTTTCAGTTGTTGAACTTTTTTATTATTTTAACCGGCCTATAAATGTTCATCAGTGAAGCGCCTAGGTTGTTCTTTAAGAGTGGTTTGATGACTGCAGTTTTCAGGGCCTGTGGGAATAAATATGAAAAACAGGAAGTGTTGGTGAAGGTCCATCAGGAGTCTGGCACCTGGTGGAATGCTCTCATTGAACATTATTAGGATACATGTGAGAGATATAAGTTAAAGTAACGTGGTGTTGAAGCATCAAATAAAGGAGGCCTCTCTGCTGGGGGTTGAGTTGTTTGAACATTAGTTGTGTTGTTTCCCTAAAGTCTGTCAGAGAGAGCCTCCCTCTGGTGGATGCTGTGCAGTGTTGTGTTGTCTTTGCTCCAAAGGTTTTTGTACAGAGTGTTGGTGTTTCCTGTCACTGTGGGCCTCACAGCACAGTAGTACACAGCAGAGTCTGTCACTGCAACAGAGGAGATGCTCAGATTGATCTGGGTTTTATCCTCATTCGGTTTAACGGACAGTCGAGAGTTTGTTGTATTTTGTGTTCCCAAGTGAAAGATGAGGAACTCTGGTGGTTTTCCTGGATATTGTCGATACCAGAAGAAATAATCATCCAATTCAGCAACCTTGGAGTATCTGTAGGACAGAGTAATAGAGCTGCCTTCTGGACTGAACTCTTCTCTCTGTAATGCAGTGAGATCTTCACAGCTGACCCCTGAAGAGAGGAGTAATTCAAAAGACTCAGTTAATAGATCACATTTGATCAACATTAGAAGTTAACGTTTTCATGCAGAAAGTTACGTACCTCTTAGAATGGAAACTAACAGTAGGGAATGTAAATAATAGTGTAATGACAGCATGTTGAATGAAGGTGATGATGATGGTCTGTGTTGAACTCTGGTGAATATGGAAGTTCCTCTCTCTTCTATAGTTCAGGAACATCTTAGCTCCTCCATGAATCTCTCTGTCTCCTCTTAGATCTGTATTCCACTTCTCTCAGTTACACTTCCTCCTGGGTGACAGATCCAAAGGCAGTCTGTAAATTAAAAGTCAGAGGACCTAGGATTGAACCCTGTGGTACACCACAATAAATCACAGACCAACAGCGGAACTTGTTTTATAAAGATAAGAAAACAAGTAATCAAAACTGATGTCCTTGATGTGTACCAGTTTATTGAGAGAGGTGATTTAAAGTGTTTGATCAGTCAGTAAATAAAAAAAACGTAATAATAACAATGATTGGCGTTAACGTGAAGTCAAATTAGTGAGAGGTGTTTCAACGAAAGAGAAATCTTTTTTAAATGATCTTAATCTATTAAAAATATTTCTTCAGACCCGACATTTAAAAGGTCTTGAACACCACAACACAAGCTGCTGTTTCAATAGAACCTATGATCACATTGTGCTTGGAGATAAACTGAATCAAATGACAAAGTAAGAGGCTCTAGGATTGAACCCTGTGGTACACCACGTGAAATCACAGACTCACAGAAAATTAGAGACACTTATTTTAAATTCATTGAGACTACATTTTATGTTTAACCTGTGATAACAGGCCAGATTCACTGATTGAGTTAAACATTTGAAAATGTTGATGTGAATCAAAGGCAGTCCATGTGTTTGTATGGTAGGGAACAATTGTTCTATATCATATAAGGCTTCGCCCTCTAAGGCTATCGCTATTGGGTTAATCCCACTGCACGTGTGCAGCACTGACAGACTTATTCCACGCCCACCTATGACGTGGGCCCCACCTCCGGGCTCACTTCTGTATAAATAGGAAGTAGGGCCTACAATCCACTCCTACTTTTCTTCAGCACTCCGTTGCAGAAGCATTGACAGGCAAAACAAGTTATTTTAAGAGCTACTTACTAAAAATTCCTGGTTCCCCTGGGCCCATCCTCCCTCTCCTCCGGACGGGGGAAACAGGGTAGGGGCCCGGTGTCAACCCGACATATGAGTTACGACCGGAGCTCACGGTGTGAGTTTTCCCGGGGATTAGAGCACGCAAACGCGGCTCTCACTCCCCAGGTGTCGTGCACTCATTGTGTCCGTCTCCCTCTGGCCCACAGACAGTGGAGAGCGGACGCTCTCGCTGCTGCGGCCGAGGATGATTGGCTAGTCCAGGAGTTTTACTCTGTGGACCAAGCCCTTTATTTATTGGATCCGAGTGGCGGGCAGCAGTCAGGCGACTCCTTCCCCTCCAGTCACGGATCACCATGTGGTTCCCCCGCCCTGTCTCCCTCTCCTCCGGCGGGGGAGACGGGGCGGGGGTCCGGGGTCAGCCCGGTAGCCGAGCCTAGGTTCGGCTGCCGGGCTGACGACGGGTCAACGGGTCCCTTTATCCGCCATCACTGCTCGGCCGTCGATAGGCGGTATTCTCCAGGAACTCCCGGAGATCATCGGAAAGGCAGCCGCCTAATGAGATCTCCCCGTTCCCCCGGTTCAGGAGAGCTCTCCTCCAGATGACATAAAAAAAGCTGCATAAGCGGCCGCCTCACAGCCTGTCGGTTGTTAGGCAGCAAAGCTTACGGCTCAAACCAGCTGTCTTTAAAACCTGTCGGTTAATTAGACAGCCCGGGTTTGTTTCCTATGTCACAGATGTGCCTCCTACACACACCTCCGCTCATTCCTCAAGCAGGTTTGAGCGTGAACCTCAATGTCCGTTTTACGAGTTTCTCCTAAAACGGCGACATGAGGAGAGCCGCTGTGTAATACAGCGTGTGGAGGTGCATAAGCCAGCTGTTTGTTACCTGTACGGTTAACAGACAGCGGGGCTCGCGGCACGAGCCAGCTGTTATTAACCAGTCGGTTATTAAACAGCAGGGCTTGACGGTTAAACCTGATCCTCCTAATCTGTCGGTTATAGGCAGCACGGTTTTTCCTCTGTCCCAGATGTGCCTATACTACACACGGTCGTAATGAGCCTAGGGCTGTTATTACGCACTGTGTGAATAGCACTGCACACACCTCTGCTCATTCCCTCAGCGGGTTTTGAGCGTGAACGCGCCTCAATGTCCAGTTTACGAGCCTTCTCCTAAACAGAGACAGGATGAGAGCCGGTGTGAGATGCAGAGTGTGGAGGGCCCCTCGCAGCCTTTTCGGTCCGGGCCCCTCTTGGGCTGCTTCACGGGCAACGGCGGCGAGGGCTCTGACGTGGCTCGTCACCATGACAACCACAGCACATCCAAAACATGCGTGCGCTCTCAGATTATTACTCAGAGTGGCGACGCGTGTATTCGATGGACAGATGGATAATAATAAGCAGCAAGGCCCACCGGGTAAGCCGGCTGCCCCTAACCTGTCGGTTATAGGCAGCATGGCTCACTGCATAACCGGCTGTCTTTAAAACCTGTTGGGTTTTAGGCAGCTCGGATTTTTTTCCTCTGTCCCAAACCTACCTCCTACACACGGTCGTAATGAGCCACGAGTGCCATTATTACAGTGTGGACAGCACTGCACACACCTCCGCTCATCCCTCAGGGGTGTTGAGCGTGAACGCACCTTAAATGTCCGGTTTACGAGCCTTCTCCTAAACGCGACATAAGGAGAGCCTGTGTGAAATGCAACGTCTGGAGGGCTCTGGCGTGGCTAGTCACCACGACAACCACAGCACATCCAGAGCAGGTTCGCGTCTAGTAATATGTTGTGGTCAACAGTTTCAAATGCAGCGCTGAGATCTAATAATACTGACAGTGAGATTCTGCCACTGTCTGTGTTTAAGTGGATGTCATTAAAACGTTAATTAGAACAGTCTCAGTGCTGTGTGACTGGAACACATCAAAACAGTTATCAAGTGCCAAAACAGCTTTTTAATTGTTAAAAAACATTTTTCCAATTATTTTAACCGGCCTATAAATGTTCATCAGTGAAGCGCCTAGGTTTGTCTTTCAGAGTGTTTTGATGAATGCAGATTTCAGGGCCTGTGGGAATAAATATGAAAAACAGGAAGTGTTGGTGAAGGTCCATCAGGAGTCTGGCACCTGGTGGAATGCTCTCATTGAACATTATTAGGATACATGTGAGAGATAAGTTAAAGTAACGTGGTGTTGAAGCATCAAATAAAGGAGGCCTCTCTGCTGGGGGTTGAGTTGTTTGAACATTAGTTGTGTTGTTTCCCTAAAGTCTGACAGAGAGAGACTCCCTCTGGTGGATGCTGTGCAGTATTGTGTTGTCTTTGCTCCAGAGGTTTTTGTACAGAGTGTTGGTGTTTCCTGTCACTGTGGGCTGCAGAGCACAGTAGTACACAGCAGAGTCTGTCACTGCAGCAGAGGAGATCTGCAGATCCACTTGTTTTTTCTCCTTGTTCAGTGTGGCTTTCAGTCCAGGGATTGGAGGTTTTGCTTCCACCACGTAAGGCTGTGTTGTGTCAGTGATCAGGAGGAGGAACTGAGGAGCTGATCCAGGATCCTGTCTGTACCACTGGAGATTATCAGCTTTAACTGAATATGTACAGGACAGAGTAACACTACGGCCCTCTGAGGAACACACTTCAGCACTGATGGCAGTAATAGCATCTTCCAAGCTGTTACCTAGAGAGGAAAACATCATGCTATCATTACAGCTCCAAAGTCACAAACCCATCAATCCCTTAATGAAAAAACAACTTTGCTGTAAAGCGTTAATCCAAAATCCAAACTGGATGTGTAATGCTTTGAAAAAAGTCTTCATAGTTCCCCTCCTCCTGTCAGAAACATACGTACCTATAAGAGCTGAACAGAGCAGAATTGCAGCCAGTTTCTCCATGTTCACAGAGGGGAAAGCTGTGGTTGTTCAGTATGGAAACGTTTAGTGAGTTGTGTTTGGTCTGATGTTCACAGCTGGAATCAGAGAGGTGTCAGTCATGAAGCTCTGCAGTCAGCAGGAGGAGACTCGGATGTCCAATGAGTTTCTGGAGCTCTTCATCACAGCTGTGAGTCTTAGAGAATCTAATCTAGACTGTATCATCACATCCTGCTGAAGGTGATCAGAGAGAGACTCCCTCTGGTGGATGTTGATCAGTATTGTGATGTCTTTGCTCCAAAGGTTTTTGTACAGAGTGTTGGTGTTTCCTGTCACTGTGGGCTGCAGAGCACAGTAGTACACAGCAGAGTCAGACAGCTGAAGCTTCTGGATCTTCAGAGGAACAGATCTTAAGCTTGAATCCAGTGTGGATGAGAATCTGTCCTCGTCCTCTGTTTTCCCCGTGCCGATCTTAAAGCGGCTCAGGATGAATGTGGGGCTGTTGTCTCCGTGCTGTTTGTACCAGAAGAGATATTCATTTGATGAAGTGGTGTTATAGTGACAGCCAAGTGTTACTGCCTCTCCTTTAGTAGCAGTCTTTTCTGCTTCAGGTTGTAGCACGTTGTCTCTTTGGGCTCTGCATTCTGTAAAACAGCAACAAACAGTATCAGGGACTTGTTAGAGAATCATCTCAACGTTGGACTGATTTCAAAGAGTTCATACCAAGACTCATAGCAGCCAGCAACACTGAGATAACCAGATGCATCATATCTGCAGGTTGAGAAACTCTGAGCTACAGAGAGTATAAAGAGGACTGATAAACTCTGCTGAAGTTTAACAGAGAGAGGCTCCCTCTGGTGGATGTTGATCAGTATTGTGATGTCTTTGCTCCAAATGTTTTTGTACAGAGTGTTGGTGTTTCCTGTCACTGTGGGCCTCACAGCACAGTAGTACACAGCAGAGTCAGTCACTGCAGCAGAGGAGATGCTCAAATTGATTCGGTTTGACTTCACTGTAATCTTCAGTCCAGAGATTGGGTTAGTTCCTACAGCGCCTGAATCAGAGTGTGAGATGAGGAACTCTGGTGGTTCTCCAGGATATTGTCGATACCAGAAGTAATAATTAGCATTAGATCCAGCTTTGTAGGACAGAGTAACAGAGCTGCCTTCTGGACTGAACTCTTCTGTTTTGACTGGAGTCAGATC